GTGATGTAGACATCACTGAATGAAGAGGAAAGATTTCTTACAAAAATTTCACATCTCTAGATACTAAAATCTTGTTGGTTTGAAGATTTAGGAGTTTGTAAGCTTTACGATCATAGGGATACGCAATAAAATTCATGATTAAGCTTTCTCCATAAATTTATCCCTTCCAATAGGATTAGTTTTTACAAAACATATGCAACCAAATGATTTTAAGAAGGAAAAATCAACTTTAGTCCCATATAGTAACTTATAAGGGATCTTGTCTTGAAGAACTGAAGATGGCATTATGTTAATAAGATGAACTATAGTCTTAACACATTCACCCCAATACATATGTTTCCTAATCCAGATTGATAATACAAGGCTCTTGCAACTTCAATGTGACACACAGGTGTTCACGTTGTGAGATTAGGATAACCATAATCTCGTGTTTTGCTCCTTATTTAAGAAAAGTGGGAGGTGACGGTTTGCACACCCTCAACCTCCATCACTTCCTTCCTGCCCAAATCGTTCCTAGCCTCCATTGGTGACCTTGAAGAGCTCATTTGGTGGTTTTTGTCTCTTTGAAGAAGAAGAAGGCTCCTTGGGTGCATTCTTTTGGCAATCAAGCTCCTACCTCATCATCTTGCAATACTTATGGACCTTTGTAAGTCCTAAATCTATTTCCTTTATCTCTTATGCATGCTAGATCTAAGATTTATGCTTCTCTTTTCATGGTTGGGTTGGGTAGCATGCATGGGATCCATAAAGTTAGCAACTTTATGGATCATTGATACAATTTATGTAGTATAAGTTCCAGATCTGAGGTTTGGTGTTGATTTTAGACTCCAAGCATGAGCCTTGATCCCATTTCAGTCTTATTGACCTAGTAGTGTCCAAGTAATGCGTTGGACATGCATGAATGAAAAGCAACGATTTTTATGGTCCTTAGGGTTATGGAAGACCCTCTGGAAAGTCTCAAGGAGTAGCTTAAGAGATTAAGAGCTTAATGTTCAAAGTTGTCCATATCGGATCTCATGACGTGAGGGATAGGATGTCATGTCGTGAAATGTGGTGTTTGTGACTATTTTGTCTTTTTTAAGTCACGAGGTGACCTATGGGCAATCACGACGTAACTGATAGCTGAAGTTAACCCGGTTTGATTTTTGACCATGGTTGACTTTGGGGTACAATTAGGGTTTTAAGGATGTAGGCTGAAAGAGCATGTCTTTTCTAATGTTAGGTGTCTTGTTGCTCCTGTCTACTATATGTGTGAGAGCTGATGTAGTTCTAGCTGTTATTCGCAAGGCGAGTCCTTTCACTTGTGGTAATTTTTTTTGTGAGCAGGTGGGTCTTAACTGTTGATTATTGTTATGTATGCATTGAATTGTACTGCTGATAATTTGGGATTGCTGAGAATCCTTAGGGTTGTTGATAACCTCTGGAACATGCTGTTAGACCACAGGGCGTGTGGTTAGCCCATTGGGATTACTGATAATCCCTATGGTTACTGATAACCCATAGTTGTTTATTATGTTGTGATGTATGGATATTTTGGAAAGGACTCATTAAGCTTTATGATTACACTTGTTGATTTATGTGTTTTAGGTACTTCAGATGATCGCAGGAGGCAAAGGCTTAACTGTACACTCTAGCTCACAGTTTTTATGATTTTCACCTTTTTGATACGCTGATTTGGATGACTGTATTGACGTACTTGGGATTTTTTATGACTTGGATATTTATGTCACTTGTGGTTTTGTTGAATTAAAAATGAAAATTTTTGTGGAAAACATCAATTTGTTACACATTCGATCTTGAGTCTTCTTTCTTATTCTTAGTGAACTTAAAGTCGGCATGAAAACCATAGAGTCTTTAACACTGAGATTTGACATGTCCGGGTTTCTTGCAATGATTGCAGGTAATAGCCTTCTTTGAACCAACATTTTAAGAAGTAACATTCATGGCAATTGCATTAGGATTAAGAGGAGAAGATGTGTGAATACCTCTTTGTCTTTCTTCTTGAAGAATAAAAGGAGTAGTAGCAATGGAAGGAAGAGGCACCATCATAAGAGTTTGTCCAAGAATAACCTTGTAGGATTCACTAACCCCATCAATAACCAGATTGATTTTTGATTCTCAATGAATTTACTAATTCCTATTCTGACTTCACAAGTACATGCAGAAATTTTTTTACACCATTCGTAATTCATCTCGGACTTTAGTCAATTTTGTGATGTAGAAAAATTATCTGATCCTTAAATAATTGAATAGAGCTTCCGTTGAATATGGTAAATAAGAGTTCCATCAGATTGTTCATACCTTTGGTTCAGCTCTTTCCAAATCTCAACAACAGTTTAAAGGAACAAGACACTTTCCACAATACTTTTATCAAGTGAATTCAAGATCCAGTTGATCACCATCGAATTAGCACGATTCGAATTTGAATATGTGCTTGAGGTACTTACAGGCTGTGGAATCGATCCATTAACGATTTTGTTTTTCGCTGAAAGAGCTATGATCATAGATAACTTCCATGAAGTGAATCCGAAACCATTAAAGATATTCGAAACGAGAGTTGTACTCGAATCATCATAAGATCCGATGAACACAAGATTAGAAACATTCAAATTGGAAGATAAACTTGATGGATTTGATTCAGACATTGTTGAAACAACAAGTAGGATTAGAATAACGAAATGAATCGGAAAAAAAAATCAATGAAATCAATAGACATCAACTACCACTTCTAACAAACTCGACTAACAAAATAACAATATTTACAATTTAAACTCTGCTCTTCAGAAAAGTTATAAAATATATCATTTCATAGAAATAAACTCTCATAAAGTTTTTAAGTTAACTTGTGGCTTTAATAGTACTTTTCAAGCTTACTTTCATGTTTTGATCTAATTTTGGAATGTTGTGATCTTAATTAAACAAAACTGAAACACAAATGTTTATTTCGGTAGTTTGTAAGAGCATTGTGTTACTTTGGAACTTTTGGTAAGTTCTTAATACAAATATACTCATTTACTTTTCTTTCAATACTAGTCTTTATACTAGGTTTCATTGTTTTGTCAACATCTCTAGTCATCATATTGTCTATTCTTTTCGATTATGTGTTTCAAACAGACTATTTTTTTTTCTAACAACTGAATGATTTATATTAACAAATTTGCAAAATACTAACAATAACAACTGAATGATTTATATTAACATGTTTGCAAAATACTAACAACAAAAACAGATTACAATGAAATGTGTTTCAAATCAACTAATATCAATCGAGGTTTATTTTGATAAATTTCTTATAGTTTGATTTATTTTATTTTACTTTATTTTTTTACATTTTTGTTTTGAATAAGATTATTGTTTAATCTAATAGTAATAACAAAAAAAATGTATATAATATTAAATGCGGTCAAATTTTTTTTCTTCATGTTATACAAAATTAGCATTTTAAATATAAAATACTAATCAAATTGCTTTTTAATATTTTACTAAATTGCATGCTTAATCAAATGTCATTTTTTTTTTCAAACAAATTTTGCACGTATTTTATTTATGGACTACATCGTGTTGATAAGCTTTATTTTTAAGATAAATAGATAATGTTTATTACACATTTTTTATTATTATATTTGCACAAATTATATTTATTAATATGTAACATAAACTAAATATTCTAAAGTAAGTGACTCAAATAGGAACATTATCTCCACATCCACTACCTTGAACTCAAACAGTAGCCATCAATACCGAACAACAAACCATCACCTTCAAAATGCAAAAGTAGAAGTTGATGTATGTAATGATCGCTGAAAGTGAGATTTGGTTGGTACCATGTTTTTCTTCTGATAAGACAATTTTATCTATTAATTTATTTCTTAATATCTTTTTATGTCGAATGTCATTGTCGAAAACATACATTCCTACTGTTGAGCTGCCTATTTCCTACATCGCTTACCTTATTTTCATGGGATTGATGTATTTTTAGTGTTAGTATAGTGTACGTTTTTCTCCTGATAGGCAATGGCGAGCTGCTAGGGATAGTGGGGGTGCTGTAGCATCTCAAAAACAATAAAAAATTGTTCATTTCATGTATTAATTTTTTTCAACTCTCTGCCTCCGTCGTTGCCTATAGGTAATCAAAGATGGCATTGGTTTTGTGAAAAGAATTATTTATTATTTTATTTTATGTTGTTAATTCAATATTTTCCCTTAACGAATATTTGCATTCCACTAATAATATATATACAATACAAGGAAGAAGGGTGACGTTAGTGGGCTAAATACATTGGGTCACACTATAATAAAAGCATACAACAAAATAAATGGTACACTAGAATGATCGACTAACATCCCCGTAGTCGGAATTGTAGATCTAGAATGAACGTTTAGACTAAATCTGAAATCGAGAAATAAAGAAGATAGTAGCCATTTGATGAAAATATCATCACATTAGACGATGAGGAAACATGGAGAACACAAATCTGTCCCATGGCAACTTTGACACACACAAAATGAATGTCAATCTCTATGTGTTTGGTACGTTGACGTCAAACTAGATTGGTGGACAAATAGACAACACTAACATTGTCGCAACAAACAAGACTTCCGGTAAAAGATTATGTAAGAAACATGTCTCGACAACTCTTTCCATGTTTCGCAGTTGTGGAAGTGTGTGTTAGACGATGAGGCAACGGTTCCTTTGGATGATATCTAGGTCGATGAGCGTCTGAATTATATTAAGAGGCCGGTAGCGATAATGAAGAGAAAGATGAAGGTCATGCACAACAAAGAGATACCTTTGTAAAGGTTCAATGGTAGCATTGGGAGCCAGAGGCAGAGATGCGGGAGCATTATCCTGAGTTATTCACAGCAGCGGACTTCGAGGATGAAGTCTAGATCAAGTGGGGGGGGGGGGGGGGGGGGAATTGTAACATCCCGGTGTTGAGGTAATTTCAACAGTTGACTTTTGACCGGTTGACTTTTTGACTTTGCCCTAAATTTTGCATATGGAAGGTGAGCGTTCTAAACGACCTAGGCACATCAAGTCGTCGGCCCACCATCGTAGGTCCCCATCGCCTCTGCTTAGGTCCCTGTCAGCTCCGCCTCCATCTCCACCAAATCCGACACATGGTGGTGTGGTTTGTCGCGACCCAATTCAAGTTGCCAAACTTGAGGCCTTTCTCCAGCGCGCACATACTACCCAACAATTTTCGCATGTGCCATCTCTCCGTGAGTTGCACATCTATAATCAAGTCCACACCTTGTTCCGGAACATTGGATGGCAAGGGTTGTTGCAGGTCCACGAGCTCAGTTACAAAGTCCCGACAGTTGAGTTCTTATCTTCACTTGATTTGGACCATGGTGTCCTACGTTTCCTGCTTATGAACCAAGATCATGCCTTGTCCCTAGACCAAATCAATGTCATAGTTAGGTCCCCCCACAGAACACACCTTTGGCCCCAATGATCCAATCCCATGATACAGTGATCTTACGTGGTGGACTGACCTTACGCGCCAACTTCTCTATGTCTTAAGTTCTGCTAAGGCCTCATCTCTCATCCACCCTGTGATGAAAGTGGCCCACAAGATTATTGCTTCACTTGTCGTCCCTAGAGAATAAAGAAGCACCATTAGCGCCCTTGAGCTCAAAATACTTTATGCGATGGCCCACCCGGACGATAACCTCATTCCTCACTATGCCTCATTCCTTTGCAACAAGCTCAATCGCCTTAGCACATCACGACCCAGAAAAAATTATATTGGTGGAATTGTCAGTTTGTTTGCTAAAAGTGCTCCAGTCCGGTCCCCATATCCCGGAATTCACCAACCTCTACCCTGTGACCCCTACCTCACCACGATAGTACTCGAGACCATGAGGATGTTTCGGACGGAGGACGAGAACCACAATTGGACCGTGGGCCAAAACCACGACCCAAGACTCCTCATCACCCCCAAAAACCGGAACATCCTTTCCCCCAGGAGGCCTACTAACTTCACCGACTGGCAAATCACGCCCTATCTTTACCCTATCTCCTTCTTCGAGGAGGAAGATGAGGAAAGTGGAGAAAGTGACGAGGCTGTCGAGAGTGATGGGGCGGCACCACAAAACTCTTCTCCCATGGGTGGTGTCAGCTCATCCCATCATGTTGGGCACCCATCATATCACCAAAAATATATGGATCAATTCCAATCGATCCATACCCGCCTCGAAACTTACCATAAAGATGTCATGAACCTAACCCAAAGCTTTTCCGCCTTCACCACTCAATACGCTCGGGATCAAGAGCGTCAGCGTAAACATGAGGAGGACTTTTGGGCTTGGACCTGAAATCCTAGCTACTATCCTCCTCCTCCTCCTCTGCAATAAGTTTTTCCGCCCTCTCCAAGCATCAGGGACGATGCTTATCTTTAAGCTTGGGGAAGGGTAGAGTTGTATATTAGGTGCATTTTCATGTTCATGTTCATATTCATATTCATGCATGCATTTTAAAAAAAAAAGATTTTACCATTCTTATTTTCATTTTCCTCGCATTCTACATTTATAAAACCCAAAAATATGTTTTTTTTTTAATTTCAAGTTTTTGCATTCCATCATTTTCATGCATCATCATCATCTTTTTTTCAATATATATATATATATATATATATATATATATATATATATATATATATATATATATATAACGAGGCGACCAGATAGTTACCGGAAGTGTAGAATCATCTGTCATAACTAGGGGGCCCAAACACCGTAATTCGAGACCCCAACCTTAGAAAATAAAAAAAAAATCATACTGAAACGTTTTGTGGGCGGTAATAACATCTTCGGGATGATTTGCTTCTGAATGTTTAAAAAGAATCTTTATCGGCAACACTGGACCCACAGAACGCGGGCCTGTTTGTTGACACGTGTTACCCTCGCGGTAATAGGGATCTTAAGTATTAGATCCACACATTCAAGAAGGAAGAATGGGTACAACTATTATATCCAATACCCATATCAAATAAATAAATAAATAAATAAGTTCAAGCACTTAATCAAAGAAACTTTCAGAAATTCAAAAGTTGATTGAAGAATTCAAAGCTTAAAATGAAGATACAAATCCAAGTTCAATCAAAATCAAAAGCTGCCTCAAAGTCAAATCTGGTGAATGAAGAACTGTGTGATATGATACTTGTGGCTCTTGAAAAAGTGAAAGCAAAGGAGTTGGGCCCCTTCAGGTGGGCTCGCTGTTTCAACGAAAGCTGATTCACCGTGACGGGTTTTAAGGATGCGTCGATTTTGATTCTTGGCCATCTAGTCTTAAGGACATGAGATCCGGACTGTGTTATTTTTGCCCATAAAGCTAATTAAGGTATGAAGTTTAAATAAAACTATGGTTGGATTATTGGGTTACACCGTTTAGGATCTTCCTCACTTTAGGAGTCTGTTATATGTGGAAGGAAACAATATGGTTGCCTAGGTAATAATGTTTGAAGCCACATTGATGTAAAGTTTGATCGTACTTATATAGATAAATTACTTGTGTTCTTAAATTTCTCTTTAGTTCATTTTGTTTCTTTAGTGCTTTGTACATATATTTCTTTTTCATGGTTTTCATTGCATGCATTCATTCCTAGCCTTTAGTATCTTTTTGTCCCTTTTTGCTTTGTGTTTCTTTTTGCCATCTAGATAACTTCCTATTCATCCGATTCTTGCACTTTTTTGAGGACAAGAAATGTCTAAGCTTGGGGAGATTTGTTAGGTGCATTTTGTGCACCTTTTTGCACATCTTTTAACCCCTTTTATGCATCTATTTAGCATAATTGTTCTTCATTTGTCTTGCATTTCATCATATTCATGTTAGTCTTTAGAACAACCTTATTTGCACATTTTCATGTCTTTTTCAGGTAAACGGAGTTTGTAATGCGCTTTGGGAGGTGTAGGGAAGCATTGGTGAAGATTTTAGGAAGATCAGACGAAGAACGAAAAAGTTGGAAAAATCAAGTTTGGATTCGGAGTCAGAGGAGTACACGGCCCACGTTGGATTTACACTGCAGAATGGGCACGAGCCGTGTTGACCAAAATGGGAGCTGTTGAATTCACTGAACACGACCAGTGCCAGTTTAGTCTAATTTGACACAAGCCGTGTTGGCCCAGCTGAGCAAATTTGAGCATCGAACATAAGGGTTGGAATCGAGGATTGAAGACCAATTTTCACTCAACACGACCCGTGTTGATTTGTTCTATTTTGACACAGTCCTTTTGGCAGTTTTTCCTATTTTTCATATCTTGGGATTAGGGTCATTTGGACACACATACAAAATATCATAGAACCTTTTGAGAAGAGATATCGAAGGTTTTTGCAAGGGTTTGATCAGTAATCATTTGGAAACATTATTTCTAGTATTGTAAGTTGTATTTACACATTATTTCCATCTTTTACACTTGTGATCTTGTTCTAGTCATGTGTAGCTAGAACCCAGGTTTCTCCAATTTCATGTTTTGACTTCTTGGTAGTGACTTCAATCATATGACATGATGTTTGTTCTTAATTTCTATATAGTGAATTTGATTTGGCTTTAATCGAATGTTTGATTCTAATTGTGATTCTTATTGGCCATTTGAATTAGGTTTAGGTCATTCAAGTTATCTCTTTTAAAAAATCCGTAATTGTTTTGTGAAATTGAACAAGTAAAAAGCACTAAATTGATCTCTATTGAATGAGTTTAGTGTAAATCATATTCATAAACTTTTACACTCTCGAGCTTGTGAGGAGTATTGGGTGTTGTTGGGAGCATTCACATAAAGCTTCATGCAATCTTTTAATCTAATTCTAATAGCTTGTTTAGATTAGGTTAGTACGGTTAGGGTTAATCAAAGAACTTGTTTTGGTTAATTAATGTGGTGAATGGGAAGTGTTAGAGCTTGTTAACACTTTCAAGTACCAACATAGATAGAACTGAGTGAATATTGTGTCATCTTTGAATCACATTGCCAAGTTGCCATACATGAAGTTGGAGCCCTTACAAATTCTAAATTTAATTCACTCATTTAGCCGATTACTTGTGTTTTTAATTTGTTTGTTTAATCATTGCATTCAACCCCCCCCTCCCCCTCTTTAATGTTTTGTGAACAGGTACCTTGCGTAAAGAGGTATTAGACCGATTGTCACATGTCTATGTGGATCGACCCTACTTGCCTTGTACTACCTTTTAGTGCAATATAGTAGTGTTCTTAGGAGTATATCCTACCCTATTATTTGTTGGGTTTGACACGCCTAACAAATCGAATTTGACCACCAAAATTTCACGGGAAACTTGGTTCTTAGTGATTTCTAAGTGATTGTCAAGTCCAATATGACCACAAATGCATGCAATTGACCTTATAAACACAAAATCCACAAGTGAAGAGTTGGAAAGATTTTACCAAATCGTTAGTGGAAATGCGTTGTAGTTGGTGAGAAAGACCTTCTTCAACCTCCCTAAACTTGCCTTTTGAAGATTTAAGACAAAATCATAAAGAATCAAGGGATTTTTGATGAAAATCGGACCTTGGGGTTTTCTTGGGGGAGAGGGGCTATTTTGGAATGGGTGTGTAGAATAATGGGGAAAAAACCCGATTTTTAGCATTAAAAACCACAGGTCTGTTGCGCGAACATGACCCGTGTTCCCACAGGCCAAATCGACACGGACCGTGTTGAGATCAAAATTCCTGAGAAATGTTGAACATGACCCGTGTTCAGTATAAGGCAAAAATGAACATGGGTCGTGTACCCCTCTGATTGAACACGACCCATGTACGGCTCTGTTTGCCACTACTCATTTTTTGAACTCAAAAACACCCTCTTATTCAAACGGAATGTTTTTTCATCCCTAGGTTCGTTTGGTGATTTTAAATCATGTTTAAATGCATTTGGAACATTGAAAACCAAAAATTCAAAGAAATGGAAATTGTTTTTAAAGAAAAAGAAAGAAATACCCCCGGGTTGCCTCCCGGTAAGCTGTCCTTGTTTTAAGTCGTTGGCTCGACTTTGCCCCCGAGTATGCTTCAATCTTGGTACGTAGGGTTACCAACAACTTCTATCTCATCATTCTTCACCTCGAATCCTTCGTAAAACGACTTCAGTCTATGACCATTGACTTTGAATGTTTTTCCAGTTTGTTGGCTTGTGATTTCCACCGCACCATGGTCAAATACCTTTGTGACCATGAAAGGACCAATCCATCTTGATCTTAATTTCCCTGAAATCAACTTGAACCTCGAGTGATAAAGAAGCACTTCTTTTCCTTGTGCAAAAGTCTTCCGGGAGATCATTTTGTCATGATACGCCTTTGTCTTCTCTTTGTAGATCATGTCACTTTCATACACATCATTTCAGATCTCCTCTAGCTCTTGGATGTCTAGCTTCCTTTTGTTTTCGGCCTCATCTTCATTCACGTTGAATTTCTTTATGGCCAAAAAATATTTGTGCTCGAGCTCAACTGGGAGGTGACCTGCTTTTCCAAATACTAGCCTATATGGGGGCATACCAATGGGCGTTTTGAAAGCAGTTTGATATGACTATAAGGTATCATCCAGCCTTATGCTCCATTCTTTGCGATTTAAATTGACTGTTTTCTCCAAAATGCTTTTGATTTGCCTATTGGAGACCTCCGCATGCCTATTGGTTTGGGGGTGATAGGTTGTTGAGACTTTATGAGTCACCCCATACTTCTTCAGGACAACTTCAAGCATCCGGTTGAAAAAGTGAGTACCACAGTCACTTATGAGAGCCTTTGGAGTGCCAAACTAGGAGAAAATTTGTGTTTTAATAAAATCCACCACAACTTTGGAATCATTAGTACAGGTGGCTTTGGCGTCCACCCATTTGGACACATAGTCCACCGCCAACAAGATATATGATCAACCAAAAGAAGGCTGAAATGATCCTATAAAGTCAATACCCCATACATCAAAGATCTCACATACTAAAATGGGGGGTAAGGGGCATTTGATTCTTAGAGCTTAAGGACCCGGATATTTGGCATTTATCACATTGGGCACAAAACACATAAGAATCGTGAAAAATGGTAGGCCAAAAGAATCCGCTATCTAAATACTTTTCTAGTTGTCCTTTGGGGTCCAAAGTGACCTCCACAAACATAGGAATGACAAAAATTAAGGATGGATTGTACCTCTTGTTGCTCAAAACACCTACGGATCATTTGGTCTGCACAATACTTCCAAAGGTAAGGCTCATCCCAGACGTATCACTTGGCGTCCTTCTTGATTTTGTCCTTTTGCCAACGGGTGGAATCCGGGGGAAATTGACTTGTGACCAAGTAATGAATGATGTTCGCATGCCATGG